AGGAGCTACAGTCCCAGTCCAGTAGAACAGTCTGTTACAACAGGAGCTACAGTCCCAGTGCAGTAGTACAGTCCAGTTACAATAGGAGCTACAGTCCCAGTGCAGTAGAACAGTCTGTTACAATAGGGGCAGCACTGCTCCTGTGGGGGTTACAGTGACATGAATGGCCTCTCTCACCAGTGTGGCCCCTGTGCTCGGACCCACTCGAGTCCTCATGTCCACCAGCCCTCCCGGGGGCGGCTGCTTCCCAGGGAAGTTGTTGTAGTACGGCACATCTGGGGGGGCCGCCGCCTCCTCCTCCTCTTCCTCCCACGCTGAGCCATCGAAGGGGGCCATCCTGCAGGGAGAACGGGCACAGGCTTAGCCACCCCCACCCCCACGCACCGGCGGGCACGAGATCACGCAGGATGCGGACAAGGTCGCCGCAGTCCGGCGCACAGACACAGACGGACCCCGCAGGGGGGCGTCCCGGGAGACACAGACCTGTCGTGTGGCGTGACCAGTTTGGGGGGGTTCTTCAGGTACTGTTTGAAGCGCAGCTCGAAGGCCTGTCCGATCGTGCTGATCACGTCCTGAGCCAGCCCCTCCGAGCACTCCAGGATGTGGCAGGCTGAGGGCAGAAGGATGAGTGAGTTGACAGATCGAGGAGATCCTGTTCAGTAAAGCTGGGAGGACAGAGGGGCTTCATCAAGGCAGAGCGGTGTTTATTATCATAGAGGGAATGAAGGGTTTTAACTGTACAGTGGTATTTATTATATTAACGAGAGGGGGGTGTTTATAAAGAACAGATATGTTTATTATACATTAAACCCCTCCTGGGTTTTTATTATAATCCAGGGAACGAGGGGTGTTTATAATATAGGGAATAATGGTGGGGTTTATTACAACAGAGAGAAGGGTTCATAAATCGCTGATGGAGGGGTGTGTTTCATAATAAAGGGAAGGCAGTTTGTTATAAGAGAGGAAAGGAGGGAGGGGTGTGGCTTGTGTTTTAGAATAGAGGGACTGATGGAGGGGCGTTTATTATAACAGAGAGTGGGGGGTGTTCCTCATAACAGTAAAAAAGGAGGAGGTGTGTTTGAGAATGGGGGGTCGTTCATTGTAACTGAGGAAAGGAGAGAGAAGTGTTTTATAATATAGGGACTGGTGGAGGGGTGTTTATTATAACAGGAAAGGAGGGAGAGGAGTGTTTTACAACAAAGAGGGGGGTGCTCATTGTAACAGACGAAAGGAGAGGGTTTTTTTTTTTACAAAGGAGGGAGGAGTTGGCAGGGTGGTGGCGGTGGTGGGTGGGGGACATCCTGATGCCCGTAGGGGACGTACCTCTCTGATTGACGGGATCTTTGGCTACATACGCGACGTACTCCGCCGTGTCCTGTTGAGGGGGCAGAGAGAGGGAGAGAGAGGAACAACAGAATGAGTGAGAAAGACAGGGAGAGACAGAGAGAGTGAAACGGAGAAAAATAAATCTCTCATTAAATCAGGACAAAAGAAAAAGATTAAAAATCGACACCCCTAACAAGGGAGAAATGGAGAGAGGGGAGGAGAGGAGGAGCGAGGGATGAGAGATGCACCGAGAGAGAGGCGGGCAGGGGAGTGACTCACTGGGTCTCCTCCGGAGGCGAATGAGATGGACTGCATGTGATGATTGGCGATAATCTGTAAGACAGGGAGAGAAGGGGAGAGAGGGCGCGCAGGGGGGAGAAGGGAGAAAGGAAGAGGGTAAATACGAGACGTGTTTGCCCAATCAAAAACATTTGTACAATAACTTGACCAACACAACAAGAACAAACAAATCTGGATTTCTGCGCCCCTTAAAGTGTCCCTGTTTTCTTCCCTCCCTCCGCCTCCTCTCCCCCCTCCCTCACCTGTTTGCAGTCAGCGGCCAGCAGGTTGAGGCTGCTGGTGGAGACGGTGAGGTTGATGGTCATGCCCGCGAACTGCAGGTTGCTCTTCCCCAGGATAGAGGACAGACAGCGAGAGGAGGGCTGCAAGAGAGAGTTATGTTTTTTTGGCAACAACGAAAGACGTTCCCCTTCTTCCATCCTGACACAAACAAGAAGGTAAAGGTGTCTGGCTGGAGGGCAAGAGAAGAGGAACTCAGCCTGACAGTGTGCAGTTTACAGGGGTTGCACGCTAGGGTCAGAGGTCACAGACACAAAGGGCAGACACTGGACTCATAGGTCACAGCTGCATGTTACAGTTACAGTGGATGGAGTCTGGGGTCAGAGGTGATAATGTGCATTAAAGTCAGCTGTCCAGAATTTATTTGGTACCTTTCTCCTGCGCTGGGCTCCTTTGGCACCAGGAACTGCTTCACATACCACGGATATGGCTTCCCTGCAACACACACATGCACCCTGTTACACTGACTTACACCCACAGTTAAGAAATAATGCAGTCACACAATGAACACCCAGTACTGCGGTAGTGTCTAGACACACACTATCTGTTACACAATACACCCCCCCCCCCAAACAAAGCTGGATTGCACAATGCATGCACACACTGTAGCAGTACACCACACAAGAACAAATCACCCACACACAATGCACTGTCACACAACACCCCTCCCACACACACAGTGCATTATCAGGCACCAGGAATAAAGTAAGAAAGAGGGAGGATCCCATGTGAGAGTGTGAATCAGGAAGGAAGGGAGGGGGACAGACACAGACACAGACCACGATGGAGAGCAGGGTGACCAGACACAGACACAGACACACACAGCACGATGGAGAGCAGGGTGACCAGACACAGACACACACAGCACGATGGTGAGCAGGGTGACCACACACACACAGCGATGGAGAGCAGGGTGAGACTGGCCTCACACACACACACTCACCCATCCATCTCTCAGACAGAGCAGGAAACAAACAGAAGAGCCAGAAAGAAATAAGAGATGACAGCGATCAGAGATAGGAGTGAGATAACTCAACAGATACATTGATAAGATATAGCTCTCAACAGAGCTGCAGCCCAGTATGTGATCTCCTGTCCCAGCCTGAGGAACAGACAGTGAGCCCGTCTCTCAATAATAATAATACAGGGTGTGATCTCCTGTCCCAGCCTGAGGAACAGACAGCGAGCCTGTCTCTCAATAATAATAATCCAGGGTGTGATCTCCTGTCCCAGCCTGAGGAACAGAGATTGAGACTCTCAAATATTATCTTTCTGTTATAAGTGTTAATGTTTTGTTAATTGCTACTGCCTTGGTAACAATAATAAGTTGTCAATAAAGCTGCCGGGATTTGTGAGGGAAGAGGGAGAGATGGAGAGAGAAAAATGGCAGAGAGGAAGGGAGGTGACCAAGGGTCAGACAGAAGGAAAAAAAAAACTAAATCAGCAAAGAGACAGCGGGACAGAAAGCGATGAGCGAGAGAGAAGAGAGACTTGACCGTGAAAACGGCTGAACAAAACGGGGAGTGGATGTGGCGCGGTAACAGGTCAATTCAATTCTCAGAAGCAAAGCAGCACAGTGACTGTAACACAGAAACCACAGAACAGATCTAGCAGATCACTGCTACAGCACGCCGAGACGAGAGAGAGAGAGATAACCTGGCTCAGAGTCTGAAACGAGCTCAAGTCATCATTTATTAAAAACCTCAGGAAGTGTCGTTCTGTGAAGCTGCACACGTGTCAGCAATGCCCCCTGAGGTTTACTGACCCACTTCCCATTGCGGCTGCTGGGAATCGAGATGAGCGAGCTCTTTCACAAGAGCGAGGGCCAGGACGTGCACAGGAGCTCAGGTGCACTGCGCACGCAAGAGGCACGTGGTGCAGTAAGAGGTCAACAAGATCAACAAGCTCCCACAGGGAGGAGAGGGTGCTGTTCTGATTTCGTGCCTTCAGTCCCAGCCTCAGCTCTCCCCTGGGAGGCTGGGTCATTTCCTGCAGCTAGTTTCTCTCTACATCTGTCATCTCCCTTCCTCTCTCACTCACCCTTCTCTTTTATCTCTCGCTGCTTGTTTCTCTCCTCTGTCTTTCACCAGCTCTTCCCCTGCTCTCTCCATCTCTCTATCCCTCTCTCCATCTCTCTATCCCTCTCTCCGTCTGGTCTTTCCAGAGTGAGGTGCACAGGCTGAGACAGGGCAAGGAGCACAGAGACAGGGATGGACAGGACAGGGCGAGGAGTGCCGAGACAGAGATGGACCGGGCAAGCAGCACAGGCAGTCGGGCACAGACACCAAGGATGGGGTGAGGAACAGGTACACAGATAAGTGTGGTACAAACCGAAGAGCAAAAGAAAAACACAAAGGTGGCCTCACCGTGTGACCTGAGTACGAGTATTGAAGTCCAGAGCTCTCATTGACTGGAGGACCTCCACACAGCCCATATACTGAGAGAGAGAGAGAAAAGAATGGAAAGACATTTAGACACCGACCTCAAAATCACCACTTCAGCATAGAGCAAGAAGAGAGGGTGGGAAAATCTGCATTTATTTAAAAATAAATACACAAAGGCTGGCGGGGGTCTGGAACAAGCAGCCCAATCGCACGGCTGAAGCCAGGTTTCCGTCCAGAAAGAGCTGGAGGAGTTCCTGGGATTAACGATCGACTCGCGTACCCAGCTCGCAACCGGCCCGCTGACCCGGCGGCCACTTACCCTGACGGTGTAGGAGACCCCCGTGGTGCTGACCACGCTGTCCGAGTGCAGCCACCCCCGGGTGGGCTTGTTGACGAAGGAGCCGTGCCGGGTCCATTCGTCCCCCCCCAGCTGCCCGCCCTCCACGCGCGCTCGCCTGGACGCCCCCCCGAGCCGGCTCATGTCCTGCGAGGGCGGGGGAGAGGAGAGGGCGGTTAGGGGGAGCAGGGCGTCGGCCGCGGGCTCCGAGAGGCCCCCAAAGGGGGGGGCAGAGGAGGTTGGCTTGAGGCCTGGGAGCGGAGTGGCCGACCCGCCCAGGCGGAGAGCCCCCATCCTGGGGAAGAAGGAGCAGAGGGTGGTGGGGCTGTTCTCCACGGGGAGGGGGGAGGGGGGTGGCAGCATGGGCGCCAGGGAGCTGGAAGATACAGAGGGAGGCATCCCAGGCGGGGTGGGCGGCTCAGAGGGAGGCAGAGAGGACGGAGAATTGGACTCGTCCGGAGAACTGACGGACTCGTTGCGGAAGTGGCTGTACTTCGTCTTTGGCACGATGTCCATGTCTCTCTCCTTTCTTTCCGGCCTCCTTTCACAAACACTTCGACATTTTCGAAAAAAAGCTAAAAGTCTCTTTTTAATTCCAAGGAAGCCAGTCTAGTCTTTTCGGTTCATTTTTTTTCAACCAGTTTTAGTCTCTTTACCATCTGCTCGATTTCTTCATAGCCGCCTCTAACTCAGAGCGAGGTGAAAACAGAAATTACAACATAGCACGGTCTTCCGTGAGCCAAAGAGCAGGAATAAGTCAGGGCACCTTAAGTAATGCCAATAGCCACAGTGCGCTAACAGGAGTTTTTGCTTGTGTTGTGTCGGCTCTGAAAAAAAGGGGTCTCAGAAGTTCAGTCAGACTACCAGGAGGACAGC